TTTACCCTGAAAAAAATTTGGTGAAAAAATTTTTATAACATTTGAACATGTTATATTTTGTAAGAACTTTTTAGTTACATTTTAGTTATTTTTAATTATATAGAATAAGACAGCATCGGACAATAGTGTACTAGCATGAAACTACTCAGAATATGATTCTTCTGATAAAACATGAATAGTAAAGTAGGAATCATGTTCATAAAATTAAATGCTGCATCGTTCCTCTCCTATTAGTTAGTCTGATTCTTCGTTCTGCGATAGATTGTTATGCTTTGGAGATAAAAAAGGGGAAGGGTTCGCTTCGCGTGATCGCCAGTGCCACGACGTGTAGTTGGTTTTCTTTTTCTTATGAATAATATGTTCTTCATACAGCAACGGCGACTTCTGAATATCAAACTTAAATGTGTACAGGATGATACATAATTTTTTGAGAATTTTTCGCGAAAGGGAAGTGGCTCTAATTTAAAATTGTTCAACTTGTGAGTTCGGGGAATTCCCCCTTAGGAGTTCTAGGGTTAAGGGTCGAACAGATAATTTTTTTAAATATACTATAATCAATAATGTACTTTTCTCATTTTGAATATGCGCCCGTTTGTGCTTACTTATCTTCGTAAACTAATGATAAATCTTCCCGTAAAAATAAATAAATTCCAAGTTGCCATCAAAACGATCTTAAATTCAGCTCGAGCGCCTTATCTCCTCTAAACAACCGTTTCTAATTTTCAAACCTCAGCATGTCGCTTCCATCGACTATACATTAGAAGCTGAAAGTAGATAAACCACTGTTCAACTACTTATTTCACATCGACGACAAAATTAACAGGAAATTCGATAGTAACGCGATCAAACAAGTAAATCATAACTTTTCTTCCACGGTGTGCATACGAAGAAAATTCGGGAAAAGCCAGATTCACGACGTTCACCAAGAAAGAAAGGGGGAAAAAGCAATCAGGAGAAATTACGACTGCAAAAGCCACTCAAAATAGAGGTACACGGACAAACGGTGGCTTCTTCGCGGAGCAACGTCGATTCAGCGGCAGCAGGGAAAGGTTACACGAACCGGATAGAAAATTACGAAATCGCGGTGAACGAGAATATAAGAGGAATTCGGCCGCAGAGCTGGGTAGAGAGCGAGCGCGCGGGATTGCGGACACGGAAGTTGGTCGGTCGTAAAACGAGCTTAAAGCTCGTCCGTGTTGCTCCATGCCCGACCTTAGAAACCAGTTCGAATGTGCACAGGCAGAAGGGAAGCTAGGGAATTGTGTTGCAGAAGGGGACTGAAACATCGGATCCCAACCGGGAAAGATAGTTTCGTCTGCGCGATTTCCTCGCGCGTTCATACGTGAACCTGCGCTGTGTTCCTTAAAAAAAAAAAAAAAAAAAAAAAAACCCACCAAGAAACTAACCGACGTGAAAAATGGAAGAAAAACGCGGAGGGAAAAGCTCGTAAGATTGGAAGTAGAAGGTACAACGCGAGAAACCTGCTGTCTTGATTACGAACTTTCCTTAACGAATAAGAGCGAACGAAAATCTTGCAAGGAGGGTGGAGTAATGTTTTAAAATTACCGAAGCGAAAGTAGTTAGGACGGCGAAGGAACAGCACAGCTGCACCGAAAGCTTTCATCGCCAACGTCTTCGGAAGCTTCCCGAACGATGGAATTGCAAAACACATCCTTCCATCTCTCGTCTTGGGCGCAGAATCATCGGGAACATCGGTTCCCCGGCACCGTCGAGTTGACCCACCATAAATATTCATTCGTTCCGAGGGATAAGCATTCGCGTAGGGTGTCACGGGTCTCGGGAAACCTGGAGGAAACGACGCTCGACGCTTCGCAATCAGACCACCGTACATTTCTCACGTGGCCTGCGTGTAACTCGCGCCGGTTACACCTTGTTTTCCCCGGTTAATACGCCGCTAACTCGACTTCTTAACGGTAGCATGGTAATAAGGGCAGTTAGAACGTGGAAACGACGATTTACTGCGAAACGAACCCTTGGAAATACGTAGAACATGAACGCTACCCGAAATTACCAACCCTTGATTTACATGGCCACGGTTATGGCGTCGTGAAATTTCACGTAGGCTAGCCCGGAAGGCGTGAATCTGATAAAAAAGGGTAGATCTGTTGGAATATACAATTTCTACCACACCCATTCTCTTTGTAATCTGAAGGATCGCTGACCTTCTCGCATTAGTTACGTTCGCCGAATGACCCAGTTAGGTCGGTGGAAAATTGTAATAAAAAATTCTCTCTGTAAAACTTTTGATAATTTAACCCTTTGGACTCCTTTGTCGAGTGTGACTTGACGTCAGTTTTATTCGCAGTAATTTTTATGCCAGTTTAAATATGTATTACATTTTGAAATATTTTCTTTACCTGGATGAGCATAGGTACACGCATATATGACTCTTAATGCTATTTTCGATGTAATTAGTAAAAGAAATTGTTCAAATTCGTTCCTATCGACCAAACGTCTTCTAAAGTGCATTTTAAATAGAATTCTTAAAATAATAGAGAGCTGTTGAAAAGGAAATTTAAAAAAAAATTTGGAGTTCAAAGAGTTAAGATACTCATCAAACTTTTACACACCGGATTTGTGAAACTGCGAACCGGCACTTCTCACTCCTTCGTATTACATGTTGACAGAGTCTTGTAAATTTTTCATTTTGAATTTGCGTCCGTTAGTACTTCTTGTAATACCTGTAGTGTTTACCTATTCTTGTGTAATCTAATGGAAAATCTTGCCGTAGAAGTAAATAAATAATTTGTATGAAATGTTTACTGGACGTGTATTCTTCAGGGAAAGTAGCATGGATAAAAATTGAGAAGGTAATGAATTATTAGGTTTAACGTTTAAAATTCAAGTTTATTACCGAGCAGCTGCTTACCAAGCTTGGCTTTCATGTCCGTCTTCTCGGACGCCTTCCTTCCGGGCTTGCGTCCCCTCTTACCCCCCTCTTTCCGATCACCGCGAGATCCCTCCTGCAATCAAAAGAAATCACCAAATTGAACCCTTCCGTGTCGCTCTCGATGCATCCAAGCTCTTTGAGAATATCTCCGTTCGCACCTTTCTCGCCTTCCACCTTAATTCAATCCTCGACTTCATCCTTCGCGCACCTCCAACCTCTGATTCAACGAAACAAACGTTAACACGGTCACACGACGGAAATTTTGCGTTCGAACGTATACCATCTAAAATCTGCCGTGGCGAAAGGGTTAATAGGCGCCAGAAATAGTCGCGCTTTTTCGATGGAAAAAGCAGCGAAAACAAAACAAGAAAAACAGAGAGAGAGAAGATTCGTGTGGCAGTTAAAACAGTTCATTGAGAATAGCAGTTGCTAACAGGTAAAATTGCGAGGAATAAAAGGTGCGGGAAACGCTGGTTCCGAGGTACGCGTGCAACAAAAGTTTACGACTACGGGACCAGCCCCATCCCGCCCGTCACAAACAATTGCAAAATACATTTGCAAGCTGAACAGATAGCCGAAGAGGAGTTGCTGCGGGAAAAGTACGGGGATAGCCATGCGGGAAAAATGTTGTACAGAGCGGGTAGTCGACTCAAGTCTCGAGTCGTAACACGGAAACGTAACGTAGAGCAAGAGAGAGATCTGAAAGCGGATGATGCGAGTCCCCACGGCGGCGTAATTCCCGGCTGATCCGTTGTTTCTTCCTGCCGCTGATTAATATCTCAAACGAGTTGCTTGGAGCCTGCGCGCGCGGAGAACAACGTCCAACGTTTTCAATGGAAACAAAAGCTTATTGAGTCACGTGGAGAGGAGAGGCTCCGCTCCGGCTAAAAGCTCCGCGGGAGAAGCTTCTATATATCGGGCGTTGCTCGAGCCACAGCCAACCGTCCCTTCTCCCAGCGGCGAGAGTTTTAGTCGATGTGTGAAAAAGCACAGAGGACCCACCTTTTCTTCCCGATCATTACCCACTTAACTTTCTAACGCGCCCATCCACGCGTATGGGCCGTTTCGTAAATCGAGACGCAACTTTTCCTCCCCTTCATCGTTACTCCGAAGTCAAAGCTACTACATCCTCAAAGCTTGGGATGGAAGATGATTCCGCGGGTCGGTTGTTTAACCACCTTGCTACGAGAATTGACTTTGCTTTACTGCCTCGGTTTTTTACGCGGCTCTTTTTTCGAGGGGGGTGAGATAGTTTAATTGGAAATTTTATGCCGCAATCTCGGGGTAGCACGGTTTACTTTAGATGAGAAGGGATGTGATGTGGAGATATCGGTGGGAGGGGTAGTTTGCGTATGGTTGTTTGCTTCGATGAAGTGATATTTTGGTGATCTGTTTGGAAGGAGGTGAAACGTGAGGGCTTGTAACGTGATCTTTTTGCACAAGATAAAGAAAAAGAAAAGTGCAGTGAGAAGGTGCAGATCTGAAGGTGCGTATCCATTTGCGTTGCGTCGTTGCGTGTCAAAATTAACCCTTTCGCTGTTCACTAAAATAACAAAAAGCGGTGAAAAAATGTTCGACTTTTTTTATAATTAGTATTACTTCTATTTATGATAAAAATACGAAAAAAAAACATATTTTACCTGTGTTTCACTGTTATTCCTAAAGATATTCTAATAATTAGTCCAAGTATGGTAAATTTTGAAGCACTGTATGCATAGTCCAACGTTGCATTCTTCGCAATAATACCGTGTATCTTTTCTTATTCGTTTCCCTTCGTTTTCTTTTTGTTTCCGGATTTCTTTTTTGTTTCGTTTCCAACGAAACGAATTAAGCGGTAAGACGCAACGGATAGACTAAACAAAGCGGATCCCGCTCTGCCCGTACGGACTAAACAGCGAAAGGGTTAATCACGTATCATCGCTGCGTATCAAAATTAATCGCGTATCGTCATTGCGTATCAAAATTGATACGCAACGATGGATAGACAAACGGATAGGCGCTCTAACGAAACGTCTCCAAATTTCGAGAAGCCTAGTATGTTTAATTTTTCATTCATTTTTTATTTTTCTACCCTTTACGCACTGAGTATTTTTTGATTCGATCGACCAGCAATTCCAGCACACTTTTGCAGTAAAACTTTTAAAACCCCAAAGTTTTGTTTCGAAAAACAAAATTTCTATTTCTCATGTTAATTTGCATTATTTTAATAACACAAAAACACCTGAATTTTACATTGTAAAGTTCTCCAAAGTAATCACGAATGTCGCCATAGCAGCGCCATGGAGTGGAAAGGGTTAATAGTAATGGTGCACATTACGAATAGAAATTTTCCGAAAAATCGGTAATAACTTGTTGCACAAAGACGACCATGATTTCCGCGTGACGCTGCACAGCCAGTAGCGTGGAAGAGGTTGAACGGGTGAAACTAGGAGAGAAAAAAGCGGTCGAAGTAGAATTGTCGGAGGGTGAACCGAGGATCTGGTGCCCCCTGGAGAGATAAAGAAAGGGGTGAAGAGGGTAGAACGCAGGACGCAGGGCGTAGACGCGTCTCCTCCACACGACCCGTTAAAATTTACACGTCCCCGGAGCACGGTTGCTGCGACGGAGCAGAGGCGACGCGGCGGCCGCAGGCTTAGCTATGCATGTACTCACGGGTGACAAAATACAAATTCAGCCCCCTTTTAGGGAAGCTGTTTACCTTCGGCCCTATCCTTTCCTCTCAATCCTATCTGGTATTAAATCTCCTCGAATCCTCTTTCTTTCCCTCGACCGCTTCCGACTTCTTTGCTTCTCTCTCCCTTGCTCAGCCGACTCTCCTCTCTCTCTCTCTCTCTCTCTTATCTTACCCCTCTGCCCTTTTCTAGCGCGCCGGTCTTTGTGGGTAGAAAATGGAATTGATGTTCCGCGATGAGTAGAATAGATACAGGAAACGAGTCGAGAGAGAGGAAGAGAGAGAGAGAGAGGAACTCGCGTAAAGATTTGATCATGAAGTCTACGTATGTACGAGCCAAGAATATAATTAACTTGCGAACACGTAAGAGACGTAAGAAGGAGACAATGTTGCAACCGGATTGTAACATGATGACGCCTCGATCTGACAGGATTATCGTTATAAAATTTATTAGTCACTTTTGGCTATCACACCGAGGTGCCAAACGACCATTGGCTCGCTATAAACTCGCAATAAACTCGCAAATGGTTTATAAATTTTAACTTCACACGTGCATAATACAGGTGTTAAAGAAACATTCCGGTTACAAGAAGTTCCATTTTTGGATCTCTGTCAGACTGGAACGAGAGTCGAAAAACAGGAGTCGATAGATTCAAACTAAGGCTCAAACGATAGTCAACAGATTTCAACTCACATTTAAACAAGTGTCAACACATTCAAACTCAGACTCAAACGGGAGTCAACACATTCAAACTAAGGCTCAAACGGAAGTCAACAGATTCAAACTAAGGCTCAAGTATCTACTCAACAGTTTCACATTATTCTCAACCAGGTTTGAGTAATTAATTTCACAATACCCAGCATCTCTCCATACCGTCGCATTCAACTGTAAGCGAGATTGTACCGAAAGAATCGCGATATACAGACCGCAACATCTTCCAAGAAAAATTGCATTAACCATCAGTTCTGCTACGTACTTTGACACATTTTGTAGGTCACGTTTCGGCGCGGGAGAAGAGTATCCTAGCACAGAAAGGGTAGAAACCCGTCAAACCTCTACTCTGATGCTGACACTTCCGTCGATTTCCTGACTCCGCGCCCCTATCGCTAGCCGCGTGCTACCTGCACCATCATCCCTGCGCCTGACAATCTCACACGGCATGACGTGTATCCACGATCGTCGGGGGGGAACGATTCCACCGTTTCCGGCTTCGTCTATCACCGTCTGTAACCCATCGATTCCGACCGACTCTATACTATACTCGAAGCTTCTGCTATTTCGTCCCTACCAGTCAGTTTTAGTATTATTTTTAACCCCGAGATATTTCGGGCTTTCACGACGCAACATATTGCTCCGCCGCGCCGCTCCTCCCGCTGTAAATTGTATCATTTTGTCATCGATGCCTCGGTCGTCGACTTTCTCAATTTTTCTAGCTATTTTAAGGAATTCGACCCTTTCTGCGAAACACCAAGGTGTTGCGATAGATTTAGAAGAGCAATTGAAAACCCATGCGAAGATAGAAGAAAGCGAGGAGATTGTGTTGGCTCTGGTGTTAACCCTTTCGTGACTTGAGTATTTAAATAAAATTTGATCTGAAATTAGTATCCGTTACAGACGTAATTCTTCAACCCTTATGTCAATAACCAGATATCCTTTTGCACATTTTCTCACATAAAATATTTGATCTTCTCGGTAAAAGATCGTTATTTTGCACATTTCCTGTCTGTGATTGCTTCAAGTCCAGAATTTTCATACCAGAAAACTACTAAAATTGGACGATAAAGTGGACCAAAATCCTGGCTATAAAAAAAGTTAAAACAGCTTGCCTGACCTACATACCCAAAAATCGTGAGATCTTTTCCCGGAGAACTTAGAAAAATTCCTCCTCCCTAACAGTGCACCTAATAATTTCCAAAAATAAAACCAAACAAGACCCTTTCTTTTTTCTATTTTTTCGCACGAGATAAAGGTTGGAAAAACCGCGAAGAGATACGAGAGAGAGAGAGAGAGAGAGAGATTACATCGACACGATCTAGCCGGATGCTAGATAGCACAGTAGAGAACCGGAAGCTCGTAAACCACACTGTACACAATCGAGCGCGGAGGCTTTGTAGTTTCGCAGTTCGCCGGCCGGTTCCCTTTTACGCGTATTTCTCGAGCGCCAAAGGACGCGTTACGCGGCTCGCTTCGTGCCAAGGCTCTCCTCGTTCCGCGTGAAGCGTGATTTAATCTAGCGGCGTGAGCGCACGACTCGTCGGCCACGGCACGTAACATACGCGCCACACGGTTTATATGTAACCTACCGGCGGAGGTGACCGACGCGTGGCCGCCGATCGCGTCAAAGGCAATCTGTCTCTCGATACTGGAACGTGTTGAAAAACCAACAACCCGGTCCTGATAA